CAAGTAACACGTTTGTTAAAATCCTTGCAACATGCATAGATCACACAGAGGGTAATGTTTTTTTTCTCAATAAAAATCAGGTTACTCTTTAATGTTCCTTTAAACAGTTTATTTGGGCCATGCTGGCCCAAATGAACTATTTCCTGCACTAACAGGTGCACTTGCTGGGCAAACTGTATTAACTGTATTTAGCCTCAGCTACATACAGTATACAGAACTGTGTTCCAGCAGTGGGGCAGGGACATAAAAGAAAAAGTGAAAATTGACCCCAAAACATTTTAGTTTATCTTATTCAAAGGCCTATGTTATGTAACCTTATATTTGACAAGGGTTATTATTTCATCTGCAATGCCTCTATTTTTTTAACTTCCTTTAGGGTGAATGAAAAAAAATCATCTTTAGCAACTCATTATGTAAAGTACATATCGCATAACAATAAAACACCCTATTAAGTTAGTTTTCATTTAATTATGACTAAATAGGCTAGCTAATGTGCCATACTGCATAGTTAATTTTTGGTTTTACAATGCTTCTGGTGGCATGAGATGCTCTGATTGCTTCTTTTCCATTTTATGTACATGATTGATAATCACATTACTAAATCTCTGTTACAAATTATCATATATAACATGTATAAATAACATATCTTTGATTAACTAGTTTACCTTATATTGTCAATCCTGAATTATTTTTGGATTGTAAGCATTTGTATCTACCACCCATTTACTAACTTTAGTTGCATTTTTAAAGGTATATTTTCAAATATGTATTGTGGTGGATAACCTAGTTATCAAATGAGAAAAAACAAAAAGGTGAAAAACCTTTCACGTACTGGAAGTAAGGTAACACATTTAAATAAAAAAAGAAATTGTATTACACGATTCAGTTAAAAAAGCTTATTAGATCTTTCATGACCACCCAAAATAATTACAATGAAGTAAAATCTTCATATAAAACAGTATAAAAGTTCCAGATAGATTCTAAAAGTTGATGCTGTATATCTTGGTGGGTTATTCCGATGCGTTTCGTAGCCAACTGCTGCTTTGTCCAGGAAACAACAAAGGCATCACAATGAAATTACATGCTAGGCTTGCACAGATTTCAGTACTCCAAAGGGACAATTACATATGGCATATCCTCCAACCCCCTCCCAAACAAGTAGGTGGTGTCACAGGCATCGGACCATCCAGAAGGGAGACAAAGGCCATGACCAGCCAGTCTACAACAGCAATGTACCAGGGAGGGAAGAGACTGTGCAGCATACACATGGGCAAGGTTTTCTAACTTTTGTTGTTTCTTTGATATTTTTAGGATGTGACAATGTATGCTTTTTTCCAGAACATGGTATAATGCTCTTCACTAGTTATTAAGGTTTGAAATGTTTGTTCTGTCATTTCAAAGGTTCAGTTTCCAACTTTATATCACTGTAGGCTTTTTTATACAACAGACAAAATGGTTACCAGAAAATAAATGATCATTCACCAAAAAGTCTATAGACCAAAGAATACAATGACCTTGATTTACTAAAGGGATAGAGTATTCTCACTTTCAAAGTGCATTTTCATGTATTTTAGTGAATGAGGTGAAACAGCGAAAATCCCCTTTGCTAAGAATATTAAATCATGTGCAAAAAAAACACCCCAATATTTTTGCTTGCACATGATTGGATGAATAAGCCAGCACAACTTCTTTGCAAAATGAAAATTCACTTTGTAAAGTGAAAATTTACATTGAAAGAGAACATGCTCTGCTTCTTTAATAAATCAGCCCTGATACGTACCAAAGTGTATTATCTCACTGCCCTCCTTTAAAAAAATAGAAATAGCCTAAAACATGGAGATTAAGTTTAAAACTCTTTGACACAAATAATGATGCAGTGCAACTAAAATAGTAGGGATTATTTACTAAAACTACACGGTGAAAAATCTGGTGATGCTCTGCATAGAAACCAATTAGCTTCCAGGTTTTATTCCCAAATCTTATTGAACAAGCTGAAGTTAGAAGCTGAATGACTACTACGCACAGCTGCACCAGATTCTGAGTGTACCAGTTTTAGTAAATCTCCCCCATTGTCTCTTAAATACATAGGTCCCAAATGATAAAACAAAAAAAGTCCCTAAATATGAATGTGTGGCCAACCACCAGTTGCACACACATGTGCACACCTCCTGGATTGGACCTTAATCAATAATCATGGTCATGCACTGTTGCCCCTCTAGGGCTATACTCCAGCTGGCTCTTGGCTCCCAGTAACAATCACAGGCATCAACGCATGGACTAGAGCTTCTGTTCCACCTCCTACTCTCTGTGTGGCATATACTAATACAAAAGGAAGAAAACCAATAGTGCTGTCCATACATTTTGAAACAATTTAATAAAATCCAAAATGGGACACTCACAAACAAATGCACTCTCAGTGCCATGTTCTGTGCATCATATAAAAGTAACTGCCTTCTCACCACAGGGTCTTCACACTGCCTGGTGGTGGCATCGAATGTGCTGACTTGACTCTGTTCCCATACAAGTTACACCTCCAAAGGTTTTCCTCAGGAGAACAATGGCAGACCAGCGCAACCTCCTTATATAAAATCCTGGCTGGCTCTGAGCTCTACAGCAATCAAGGCCAGACAGGAAATTATGACGCAGGTGACCCAACCAACCCGGAAGCGAGGTCATCCTCAGCCATCTTGCTCCCTGTGGGAAAAATAAAGAGAACATTCCGATAAGGCCACTTGTACATGATTGGATGGTTAAAGCCAGCACAACTTCTTTGCAAAGTGAAAATGCTCTACTTCTTTAATAAATCAACCCTGATATGTACCAAATTGTAATTTCTCACTGCCCTCCTTTACAAAAATAAAATTAGCCTAAAATATGGAGATCAAGTTATAAATTATTTAATTGCATTTGTGCTAGAGCATGCATTCATGTTATTATGCTCATATAACAAACCATAGAAGCTGAACTTTAGTGGGGTTCATGAAGCCAACAACATACTTCAAAATTACTTCAGTTGTATTATTTTATTAACATTTTGCCTAACGTATGCAATGGGATTATACCAGTTCTAAAGGTTGTATATTTAATCAGCCTGTCAAGCATCACTATAGTTACTATGGGCCTTTTAGCACCTAGAAAATAGCTTGTATTTTTGTGTTTCAGATTAGTTGTCAACACAACTGAAAACCCAAATATTGACAGAAAATCATTACACTGCTAAGCATACCCAGGAGTGTGTGTGTGTGTGTGTGTGTGTGTGTGTGTGTGTGTGTGTGTGCTTTAGCTCCTCACTCTCTCTGTTGGCAGCTCTTTGCTTGCCCTCTTCACTATCTGACATTGTATATTTGTCCTCTCATCGCTTACTGCACATTGCTCACTCTCCATATGAGAAAAATTATTTTCTGCTAAACTCCAAGCCAAGTGCTTCCATCAGTAGGATTCAATTCCACTCTTGCACAGTGTTACCTACAAATTCTTTACCGAACTAAAACAAATAATATAAACAAAACAAAATAATATACCTTTTACATGCATAGATAAAAGAGGTTCAACAGCTAAAGCCTAAGTTCATTCAAATATTAAGAAAAAAAAAAACACAAAATGCACAGAACTTATATATATGTTTTTTGCCTTCTTTTATCTCATTTGTGATTGCAGGTTTATGTTTATATTAAAAAGAAAAGTGAAGGAAGGAGAAGGGAAAATGTGCATTTATTTTACTATGTTTTTACGTAACTAACTAAGTATATAGTATGTCTATGTATATAACTTAAATCTTACACTGTCTATCTTGGTCATAATTTTTTTCAGTGTTCAGCATTTTAAAGTTTATTCAAACATTACCTGTTTGCTAAATTTTTATAATAGAAACTAAGAGAATTTTTTTTTTTTTTTTTTTTAATTTTAGGTCTCTTTTTTTCGCTTGTTTAGCAAAATATAAAACACCTCATGGTTATTAAATACCACCAAAAGAAAGCTCTATTTGTGTAAAAAAATTATCAAAATTGCATATGGGTACAGTGTTGCATGACTGCACAATTATTATTCAAGGTGCGCCAACACTGAAAGCTGAAAATTGGCCTGGGCAGAAAGGGGGTATAAGTGCCCAGTAGGCAAGTGGTTAAACTGTAGAGAATGCTGTATTGTTTAGTGAAAAAATATTTTTTATTTGACAAATTTTACTGCTGTATAAGTCCTGCTAACCAATTTGATCTAATAGTGGCACTTGTTTAGGAAAAATATTTTTGCAGAAAATATTGCTGTTTTAAGTCTGTGTGTTGGCAATTTATTTCCAGATTCAGATTTTGTAAAGAAAAAAAAAAAGTGGTCTAAAATTCATTGTATTTTCAGGCACTGACCAGGAGTCTTAAACTGTCAAGTAACAACCAAAGTCTCTATCAATAGTATCACACTCCTGCCCTCCTACATTCTATCATTCCCAATATCTGACCAATGCTGGAGATGTAAGCAACACTTAGGAACACTGGGGCTGATTTACTAAAACTGGAGCAGAACGGTACAAAATCTGGTGCAGCTCTACATAGAAACCAATCAGCTTCCAGGTTTTATAGCCAAAGCTTAATTGAACAAGCTAACTTCATAGAAGCTGATTTGCTACCATGCACAGCTGTACCAGATTATGAGTGCTTCAGTTTTAGTAAGTCTCCCCCACTGTGTTATATTTACTAGTTATGCCCAGAGATATGCCTCTTCTTGATACGGTAAAAGCCCCTCTACGCTCTCTTACAAATATTCATTGAAACTTGACCCCGCCATATTCCTGCTCAGTCTTTTATCATCTAATATGCCCAAGGCTACTAAACGATTGTGTTAACAGCCATGAGATGCTTGATAGCCTTTTCTTGGTATAAGGTACAAAGACCATCTACTTTTGAAGTCCATGCATGCACAGTATATGAAAAATGAATCATATGGAAGCTCTCACAGTTCGACTAAATGTTACACTTTTTCGTTATGAACATGTTTAGGAAACATGGACCTGCCACATAAAGTGTTACTAAACCTAGGACCCTGCATTCACTATATCTGGTCTCCCACAGTACACAGAGTATGGAAATGCAATTATTTTAGTAAATATAAACTGCTAAATACTTTTTCTCATCAGCAGTTAGAGCAGTCTTGTGACTTCTATCAATGTCCAGCAGAGCAAATGTTAAAGCTTGTAGGAGGAGTTGTCATTCTGCTCTAGGAGGATGCAGGACCCCTCACCTCTGTCTAGACAGTGCTGAATGACCCTGTGCTGATCACATACACTCTCCCAACAAAAAAAAAACCTCTCTAGCAATACACACAAAACTGAGCATGTGCAGAATGACTCCACATGATATGTCTTATCAGGAGATAAGAGGGGGGCACTGGAAGAAGGGGAGGATCAGAGAAGACAGGATCAAACAGCATTTTTACACAATGCAGATGATTAACCCCTTAGGTTCCACAGGGAGTACAACAAGCATGCTTTACTGCATATACAGACTGATTTTACTGTTGTGGGTTTAGTAACACTTTACCTTACAGTTGTCATCCCACCTCTCTCATTTTTTCTTGTAGGTTCTTGCTTACAATTCCTTCTTTCCTGAACTTGTGTTCTCCTTGATCTCTTTCTTTCAGATTCCCTTCTTTCTAACCTTAATTTACAGCTGGTTTATGTAAACCTAATATGGGTTTTTAAATATGTTAACAGAATGCTATGAAAGAATACCGTTTTGCATACTGTCACTTTTTGTCTACATGCTCTTAGAGGCTCTAACTTACAGGTCCCTTTATGGATACCAGATTTAGTTGCCAGGATATTTCATTGTACCTTTGTACCAAAGGGTAGTTATCTCTAAGGCTGGCCATACATTATACCATTTTCTTGTACAATTTTGCTTGGTCAAACCAAAACACTCAATTTCTATGCAGTCAAGCAGGCCCTTGCACTACATGGTTGAATATAAGTATAAAGGAAATTGAATAAGAAAATTGTATAATATATGGCCAGCTTAACTTCACCTGAAGTGACTGATCTTCGTATTCACTTTTGCCTGAAACAAGCTACTGTAGCCTCCCTGGTGGTATTCCCAAGTGTAGCTCGGGGTAAAGTTTCAGTACCACAAGCGGTAACCCCGAGCTACACTCGGGCTTACCATGCGGCGCTGCTCCACGATCCCTCGGTCACTTACCTTGTCCTGCGCTCCCTTGGTGTCCCTCCTGCAGTGTCCCCGGCAATGTAATCCGGCAGATGCCGGCATCTGTTATCTGGGTTCCATCCTCTGCGAGCGTCGGAACATACGGGGGACGGAACTGGCGGGAAATTTGAAAATGACAAAAAGTGACATTCACAAAAATCACTAAAATCACATAGTAAAACATTACTGTACCAAACCATTTCACATACATTTTGTCCTGTGCCCTGCCTGCATTTTACTGTTCTTTCTGCCTGGAAACTGAGAAATGTCCATGGCGTCCAAAAAGCATCCCTGTAGGTCAAAAGCGGTTTTAGACAAACTAGAGAACAGCGATAGTAAATCAGAACCACTTGCAGAATTGAGTGATAATGATTCGTGGGGAAATTCGTCATCAGACACTGAAAACAATTTTGCGACTTTGCTCAGTGATGTGCGAACTTGGCGCTATATTTCAAATTTCAGTGTCTTTGGTTTGATTATATTATTGCATTACATTTTTATTATTATTTATTTTTTATGATTATTTTTTAAATTATAATTTATGATTTCGTGTTTCAAGTTTTATCCTACCCGGGATGTTTACTAGACTCTTGTTCGGACAGATTTCAGTGAGCTATTCCTAAGAATTACAGGCCTACAATATAAAATGCCAAATTTCCATGCAAAATAATGGTACCGCTTTCAGCACCAAAAATCTGAAATAATCATACCGCCAGGGAGGTTAATCCTTGCTTGACTGCTTTTGTTTGAGCAGCAGCCTACATGGCAGCCATGATATAATGTACCTTTGGAATGATATCTCTGTGTTTTTCTAAAATTCAATAAAAAGTTAGAAAAAAAATGTTCAGTAACTCATCTATATAGATTTGATTATTTTCATGAAGGCATTTTGCCGACAAAGTGAACAAAATGTTATTTCTAATGAGCAGGACATTTTTTAGTCTACGGGGTTGATTTATTAAAACTGGAGGGTGCAAAATGTGGAACAGCTCTGCACAGAAACCAATCAGTTTCCAGGTCTTTTCTGTCAAAGCTAAATTAAACTTATTATACTATAGCTTAAAATTAAGCAGAAGGTAGAAGCTGATTGGCTACCATGCCCAGCTGCACTCTCCAGGTTCAGTAAATCAACCTCTATAACTCTTTCCTGGTATTGTGCGGTATGGCAGGCGATGGATCCCAGAAGGATGGAAATGCTGCATATTCCTTAGATGGCTGCTTTAAGTTAAACCCACAAAGTGTGAATTTATATTTGTGAATTTGGTAAGCTGAGTAATAGGAAGCATACAGCATTTTGGTTATTTCCTACAAAGCCTTACAGAGCATTTCAAAAAGAAAAAAAAACTCTAAATGTTTCATAATGCACAAGGGTTAACACTTAAAATTAGATGTGTAATAATGAGCAAAAATATTATTGTTCATAGTCCCCTTAATTGAATTAATGACTTAATAAACACTGGAAACTTGACAGGCCCAGTCTACATTCAAGCTTTATGTTTTTATGTCTGCACAACTTAGTGGTTGCAGTGAAGTCAACTAAGCCTACACTATTGTATATATTTAAGGATTGGTACATAGGGATAGCCCCTGAAGGCCACCACACTTGAGTCTCCAGCTAGAAAATAAATCATAGCAAAGGAATTGAAAGCAGAGAGCATATGGGAGAAGTGACCCGGCCATGGCAATAGTATTTGCAGAACTGTAGATTCAACATGTCATGATGTAATTGTTCCCCGGTTGCTCTTTGCTTTATTTGAGTTGTCAGGCCTGCTTTATGCTGTTATTTTACATACTATAGGGAATAGTTCTGGGTACCAACAGCTGAGTTTCCATACTGTGCATTGTAAAGAAAAACAAGGGTCCTCAAGTGTATATCTGATATGGGTGTTTCCAAAAACGTCAATAGGACCTTCTGCAATTATTTTTGAAAATAATCCATGCAAAGTCATTTTATGATGTTGTTTATTCAACAAAGTGTTGGTTGATCATGGGGAATGTCATTTGTTTTATTTAGCGATACGTTTGGTGAGCAGTATCATCGATCTTTGTATATCTTATACAAGGCAGAACGACCTTTGGGGGTTTTGAAAGCTCTGCTTTTCATGTGTTCTGTTTGTACATGTAGCAATGTAATTAATCTGACTTTGTAAAGAGTTATTACATTGAGGAGATAAAAAATCCTCTTGGTAATATAGTTTTGGGCAAGCAGTTATTGCCTTTTACTGTCACTGTAAGATCATTGTCTATACCTTATTCGGCATAGAGAGTATATATGAAATACAGGTACATGCTGTTTGGTCATACTTTATAAGCAGTTACAGCAACCATTTTTATTACCCTTTGGGATAATGATTTTATATACAGTACATAAATAGAAACTGATCATTGTAATCACCCGTGACAGTGGTAAATGGTTTCTTGTATCCCTGTACCTATCTGCAAGAAAGCTTGGCTGGATCACCAAGTGAAAATGAAAGAAAGAAAACGTCCCCATCTAAGAACCGGTAAGCTGAAATATAATAAATATTTGCTTTTGGGTTTAATATCACTTTAACATGTAAGTCATATCTAAAAAGCACAACCTTTATGTCTAGTGCTTCTGTTTCTCATCCAAGTATGGACATAGATAACCAAGTAGATTGTTGGCAATCATGTTCTGGCAATACCAGTTCCTGGGGATGGCCATGTAAATTGTTCCTAAATCCACTCACTGTAGGCTTCTTGTTGACTATAAGACAGAGAGAAAACTTGCACAGCATGGAACTGGAGATAGAGGCATATTGGAAAATCACATTTACAAATAATATTTCTCTGATAAACGTAAGATGTATCATGCGTGTTAGGGAAATGGTAAAAAAAAGCACAATTTAAAACTCTTTTATAGGGAAAACTGGCAAACAAAATGTTTTTATTCTTTTCTTCCCAAAGTTGAACTTTAAGTGTTTTCCAATGAGCGGAGTGTGTAGAAGGCCTCCCCATATAAAACAACCCTGTGCACAAAAGAAGAATATGTTCACTCCTCCTGGAAGACCTTTACTCATCAAGTGGGTTTCAAAAGGGATCCTAACTTTGCAAGGGATTTTAGAATATGAAATTACATTTTGTAGTATCATTGAACTAAAGAGGCTCTATCATTCCTCCTAAAGAGGCTCTATCATAAGAAAGTAACTTATTAGGTGCATGCACTTCTTAGGAAAACCCATTACACACTTTGCTAAGAAAAACAAACTGTAATGTGGTCTTTTTAATGAGTGAATCAGCTAGGTCTGCTGTGAGTTTTAACTTCTAGTATTGGTTTAATTATTCGTACACAGAATCAAAGGTGTTCTGGTTTCAATATTTTCTAAATTGCTGTCTCATAACAAGATTGAAGAACAGGCTTTATGACCTCTCTACATACAATTTTGGGTCAGTAATAAAATATTGAGATCAGAAAAAACCTTGCAACAAGAATTTGAATAAGCAGGTTATAAATGGCCACCCTCTTTGTACAGTTTTATTCATAGTTTTCTAGTTTAGGTAAGTAGACATTCAGAAAGAAGTAATCACTGTTTTGGGGGAACTGTGGGGCAAAAAATATTTTCATATTTTATAATTGAGAAAACCTCTTAACCACTTGAGCTCCTGAGGATTTACCCCCCTGAATGACCAGGCCTCTTTTTGCTACTCGGCGCTGCACTAATTCAACTGATAATTGCGCGGTCATGCAATGCTGCATCCAAACGAAATTTACGTCCTTTTTTTCACACAAATAGAGCTTTCTTTCGGTGTAATTTGATCACCTGTGCGCTTTTTATTTTTCACACTATAAACAAAAAAAGGCCCAAAATTTTGAAGAAAAACAATATTTTTTACTTTCAGCTATAAAAAATATATTGTAAACTCAAAGTTAGGCCAAAATGTATTCTGCTCCATGTTTTTGGTAAAAAAAATCCCAATAAGTGTATATTGATTGCTTTGTGTGGAAGTTATAGCGTCTACAAACTATGGTATAAATACTGCAATTTATGCCATTTTTCTGCTATACAGCGCTGCGCTAGTTTAACGGACAATTACACGGTCATGCAATACGGTACATAAATTAAAATTTAGATCCTTTTTTTCCCCACAAATTGAGCTTTCTTTCGGTGGTATTTGATCGCCTGTGCGGTTTTTATTTTTTGCGCTATAAAAAAAAGGCTGACAATTTTGAGGAAAAAAAAAAAACAATATTTTGGACTTTTTGCTATAAAACATGTCCAATAAAAAAAAAATGCAAAAATCAAATTTAGTCATAAATTTCTGCCAAAATGCATTCTGCGACATGTCTTTGCTAAAAAAAAATCCCAATACGTGTAAATTAATTGGTTTATGTGAAAGTTATAGCGTTTACAAATGGCGGGAAAGATACTGGACTTTTTAATTTTTATTTATACTACTAATAATGGCGCCGATCAGCGACTTTTGGCGGCAATCAGCGACATATGGCAGCGACCAGCGACTTATGGCAGGACTGCGGGACTGCGACGGACATTTTGATACTGGGGGGGAACTGACTTGGGGTCACTGACATCCCCAGTGACACCAATACAGTGATCAGTGAAAAAAAACCACTGAAACTGTACTAATGTCACTGGGGAGGAAGGGGTTAACATTTTTAGAATTTTGTAAGGGGAGTGTTTTACTAGGGGGGGGGGTGTGTACTGGACAGGGGGAGGGAGGGGGGAGCTGATCTAGGGAGAGAAACTCTGCAGCTTCTCACAAGCTGTCAGAGAACTGACACAGAACAGGGCTGTGTGTAAACAATGCAGTCCTGCTCTGTGTCAGCGATCACCGTCAATCGCGGGAAAACGGCCAGTAAAAACCGGCCGTGACCCGTCGGCTGACACCCGCTGCTGACACCCGCAGGACAGGTAGGGTGGGCGCGTGCCTCGCACGCGCCCCTACCTGTTTTGAAGGCAGCCCGTTTAAAAACGTGCTTTTGCCTACGAGTGCCGCCCTGCCACCGTTTATATGCGGTGGCTGGGCGGCAAGTGGTTAAAGGTGAAGCTAGTCTTCCAATACTTGTTAACGTTTTCTTAAAATAAATCTTCCAGGTTCTAAGAAAATGCAGCTGACATTTTTCTGCATGAGGACAGATAGTATATTTTTACTTATTGTAATTTTTTCCCAAATGTTAACTTCTGTTTGTATTTTTTATTGTACAGAATTCAAGATCCTTGTCTCTGAAACTAGCACGGATATGACCATAAAAGGATAAATAGGCTTC